ACCCTTTTTTTTTTTTTTTTTTTAAATAGGGTTTGTGCACAGCCCGCCTTGTACTCTTCTAGGTTCAAAAAGCTGTCGTCCATAAAATGCGTTGCACTAATTCGAACATCTGGGTTGTGCTGTTCTGTTGTAAATAAATCTTAACCAATGATTCCTAATTGCATCTACTTCCGGAAGGCCAAATAAAGTGCTTTTGCTTTCGCACTGAAACACAGTCAGTCTCCCTGACATGGTTTTATCAACACTACTGCTGTTCCTGAAACCACGTCTTCTTTCTTTGCGTGCACATTTGGGCGGCATTATGCTAATATTTCCACATAGTGACCTAGATATGTGGGGGCGTGTTAGAACGAGCCGTTTTAGGTAGGTGTGGCTGACTCTTAACTTTTATAAAGAATATCTCTTTGGATTTGAGACTTTAGTCTTTGCAACTTTACAGATCTTCTTTATGCACCAAGAGCTTGTAACACTCCAAAGAGAAAGGAAAAATTGAAATCGCATCATATGACCCCTTTAAACAACCTTTGCATTAACACATACATCTCACAAAACAAGCACACAAGACCTCTACGGTCACTGACCCGAGTAGAGACACAAACACACATGTAATCCTATTGTGTTCCTCTCACGTTCAAAGGCAAATAATCTTGCATCACACATAAACATGAACACACGTATAATCTCCTCTCAAACAAACAAACATGTGCAAACATATGCATCAAAACCTCCCTCCCCTGTATTACATAGACATATACAGTACATGTTCTCACAAACACGCACAAGATACAAGTAAGCCAGGACATCTAATAAATCACATTAATAAGGCTTGAGCAGTTGTGTCCTTCAGCTCATTTTTCAATTCACAGTTAGGATTTTAACATATTAACAAACATGTTAGCAGTCAGCTATGGCAGGGTTTAGAGGGTGACCTCAGTATCTCCCACTGTGCTCTGGATCGGACTTCTGAGTCGTCTTCTTAGATCTAAAGTAATTCTAAATGGCCCTCATTTCTAAGAAAGCAAGTCACAAAAAGGAGAATTTTATTGTTTGTTTGGATGAGGTAGTTTTGGGGATTGATTGTTTTAGGGTCCATTAGAATTAATATATCATTTTGGCATTAACGTTTGAAGTTCTCATTATACATTTGTAGAGTAACTTTATCACCACGCTCATGCTTTTATTGCTTTCTCTCTGTGTAGCCGCAACAGCTGGCTTTTTATCCAATAAGGATCATGTTGTAAGCACTAAAGGCACAACTTTAAAACATGTAATTCAAACTCATGCAGTGGTTCAGGGATTTCAGATTTGCGGATGCTCCGACACAACCCAGTTTAAAGTTTTGTCAAGGCAAGCCAGTTCACTCAGCGGCCATCTTGACAACACGATTTCTGTTTAGCCACACAAGGAACCTATTCCCACAGAAAGCTCTACAGATGTTTGCAGATTTCATTCACACATCCTGACCCTTGCATGTTTGTTTATTAAATATTTTGCTGAATTTGATCAGTGCTTCAAAGTCTCGTATAATCATGATTTAAAATACAAAACAGAAACAGCTGTGCCGCTTAATATTTTTATGGAAACAGTGACGCTTATGTTTGTCTGTTGAGATTTTAATTCCTGCAGCCACCACATTGAAAATACAGTATAGCAGATATGCTCCTTAAATATGTCGGATGTGTCCAGCTTTTAGCTGAGGAGGTCAAAGAAGAGAGACCTTTTATTACTGTTGAATTGATGTGTCAGTGACTGCTGCAAAATTATTTTCTCTTACTAATTTTTCCTCTGTTGTGTCTTTCTGTATCTAGTCTTTTAATGAGTTTGAGATTGAGCAGCACCAGGAATGCGCATATGATCACCTGGAGGCCTTTGACGGTGACTCGGACAAGACGCCCATCCTGAGCCGCCTGTGTGGCAGTAAGATTCCAGAACCGCTCATTTCCACGGGCAACAGGATGTACCTGCGCTTCATCTCCGATGCCTCAGTGCAGCGGAAAGGCTTTCAGGCCACTCATTCCAATGGTAACTACCCTGTCTTTTCTGCATTATTACCCTGTTCTGCTTATTTGCATGTATAGCACTTGGGTCAAATGTGATTCAAGTGCTCATAGAAGCAATCCTTATGTCATGCTCACAGTTTAACAGAGCCCTCTAATGGATCATTACTGCATTACATGTTGACTGGAGCCCCTGAAGTGTTACTTTTTCACATTTGACTTGTTGCTAAGCTCCACCCACCCTGCTTACTGTTGCTTATTACAGTCAACTGAAAAAAGAAAAGAAGACTTTTTCTAATGGGGTAAAGGGTCATCAGATTTGAGTAAATCAGTGTCTATGTGTGTGTGTTTGTGTGTAGAATGTGGCGGTAGGCTGAAAGCAGAAGCACGGCAGAAGAACCTGTATTCTCATGCTCAGTTTGGGGATAATAACTATCCAAGCCACGCCGACTGCGAGTGGCTCATAACGGCAGAGTCGGGTTACAGCATTGAGCTCACCTTCACCACCTTTGAGTTAGAGGAGGAGGCCGACTGCGGGTACGACTACATCAAACTTTACGATGGCTACGACACCGGAGCGCACAAACTCGGACGCTTTTGTGGATCTGGGGTACGAGCAGTTTGTGTTACTAATGAGTCGGGGATTTTCTTATATCTTACGACTGACCTCTTTCTCTCTCTGTTTAGCCTCGTGAGGAGCTTTACTCTGCTGGTGATGCCGTGTTGATCCATTTCCACTCTGATGACACAATCAGTAAGAAAGGCTTCCATATCCACTACACTAGCACGAAGTTTCAGGAGGCGCTACACACACGCAAGTAACATCTCCCTGAGACAGACTCCAGAGAGACTGAGCACAGGGATGAAATGTTACAACAAGGAGAAACAGACTCCTGCCGTGGTGTGTTTCCTGCATTGGATTTGCCTCTCTATGTTCAGCCACTAAGGAAGTGCTGTCATTTTGAACCTAAACACCAATCAGCTGCTCTTATGTGTGGGATAGCTCCGCCCACTGGAGTGGTGTCCTGCGCTCTCTGACTGGACCGGTGAAGTAAATCAACCCCTGGAAAAAACACACTCAGACATAACAACTTTTTGTTGGCTCTCCGTTATTCAGATAAGCCAGTTATATATTGAGTTGCACACTGAAATTAAGAGACAATGACAATAAGACAAGAAGGAACTGCTATTGAACTTGTGTGTGTGTGTGTGGCTGTGTGCATGTCGTTCTGGACAGCATGAGCAGTTTGGCTGCTGATGGCACACCACACAGTACCTCAACTAAAATGTGTGTGTGTGTGCGTGTGTGTGGATGTGTGTGTTTGAGAGAGAGAGGCCTTCAAGTACCAGCCTGAACTCATTCAAATGTTTTTAAAATGATGTGGTTGTAATTTTACAGTTATTCTGTTAGCTTTATGTCAAAACTTATTTTTCCCGTTCCAGTGAAAGTGCAAAAGTAAATATGTAGCCCTATTTAACAATAAGCTTCCTTACATATATGTAGCCCATTGTTTATGTTTGCAGTGACGAACATAATTCTACGCCAAGCTGTTTTAAGGCAGTGGGTCTTATTCACAAAGCATGCGTACACATGAATTAGTGTGTGAAATCTGCGTACAAATTATGATTCCCAAAAACTTTCATACTAAAACGTATTTTAAATTTACGGAAAAAGTAGGAACAAGTAAAACCACACTTCTGTGGGTGGCCTTATAATCGTGTTAGGATGAATAGATGTTTAATCTTAAATATATTTCATCATATATAGTGAAAAGCAGCATTATAGCTCAAGCTGCGATGTTTCTCTGTATAACAGTGCAAATATGTGTATGTACAGCATCTTTAGAGAGAGCTATATGTTTGAGAGCGACAAAAGACTGTAAAGGAAAGGCTGTGTGGAACACCCTTATGTGGAGATGGATTTGGCATGTTTTATGCAAATAACACATTCATTTAATAATAGTCGGTTAAGAACAAATTCATGTGTTTACACTCGTGAATTAGGCGGAAACTTTTCCCCTGGATGTACAAATACAAAATAATCCCAGCAATTTCGAGTGAATGAGACCCAGTGTCTTGTGCTTCATTCGTGAGCAGGCCCACAAGGAATCTGCATTGCAGCTTTCACGCCTTTTGTGTTCACACTTTGCATAATTTCAACTATCACTGAGATAATCTGAATTTAATTCAATTCTGCAGATTTCCATACATTTTTTTTTTATAATGTGACAAAAGTCTGCAGATTCCATCTGGGCCTTCTGATGAGTTGCACAAACCATGTGAAGTTGTTTGAGTTTGAATTATATTTGTGTGTGAGGGAGAAAACTGATAGAATATTCTCTAATTTGTCTGTAGAAGAAAACTGTCTTACTCTTCCAGTAACGCCTCCTGAAGAAGTGAACCATGAACATGATGTGAACAGGAAATGATGTCATAAAGCCTTGCATAAGATGTCTGTTACAGCTGTGACAACTGACTACAACCACCTTAACCCTGTGCGCTTTATATGCACTTAACACAGAAAGACTGTATGGAACTGTGTGCTTTGCAATCATGGAAATGAAGCCGTGAGCAGTACCAATGAAGCTGAAAAAAAAAAACTCTCAGAGCAAGGGAATGTTCTCTGTTGCTATTTTCCCAATGACAAGCTTTCCCTGCTTGGAAACGAAGCAGAGTCGCTGTTGAAGGGAATTCCTACGGTGCTATTCAGTGTCTCCCAAAAAACGACAGGTCCCACGAGGCAATGCCCCAGCCATTCAGTGAATGCGTTGGTGCAGTGGAGAGGCAACGTTGAAATAATGTTGCTCATCAACACAGATAGAACATTGACAAAATACTCACAGCATTGACAGCACTAGTGTTGTGGAGGAACAATTATTGCCTTAGAACCAAAATGTACATTCTTGCACATGATGTTTCTGTAGATAATTTTTTTGTTTTGTCTTTTCAAATTATATTTGATTTGATATTAAGTTTAAAGAACTTGAACCTTTATGTTAAAAAAGAAATTTAAATGGACTGACCTGAAGCCGTCCCCTTCTGTCCAGTTACACAAACACGCTTGTCTGCATATATGCTTATACATGATCACACACACACACAAACTAATGTTACATTCATTTCAATGCTTTAAAGTCAGCAGTAAGACTGTCTGAACTGTGGCATATGTGTGCATCTGTTGGTCTGTGTGTTACACAGCACAGGTCATGTGACTCTGTTCTGACTCGTGAATATTTCTGTATGTGCCAAGCTCCTGTTGATTCCACTCTAGATGAGAACTATGACATATGACAATGTGAAACATGATTTATTCACCTGTTTTATCATCAGCCTAATGATGAAGAAGGACTCTTCACTCTCAAGTGATTAAACTCATGTCAGGTCAATTAAATATGCAGTCTTGTTTGTTCTTTCTCTTCCTCCTGTGTTCTTGTACATTTGACACATTAGTAGTGTGCTCTCTGCACTTCTTGTAAGTGGATAAGCAATGTTTTTTTCTTCAAAGGATTCTTTTAAATAGGTAATTACCATATTAATCCTCATTTACTTTACGAAAATGTCTCACTATAGGTATCACTATAGATCTTTGACATCACACAAACGCACAGTGATTGTATCATTTGGTAATAATACCATGGTAGCATGATACTGGAATTCATGTACCATGATGGTAATTTGATTCACGTCTAAAACACTGTGGTATTGTTGTATGTGACATGTATAATGCAAAGTGCGCAGAGTGTAGGTGAGCTGAGTTTATTTTGAGAAACAAATACACAACAGACAAGTTATGTGAATTTCAACTTTTAAAAAACGCGTCTTTAGATAGATCTTCATTCCACTACCCTGCCTCTCGCGTTTTTAAACACAAAACTTGTTCTGTGTAAATAGCCTATGGAGATTGGTTTTATATTCAGATTTGTGATTCACCAAATAAATTATTCATACCTTTGTGAACTTAGGCACACACGTGTTTAGGCACCACGCAGTCCAGGGGCCCAATTTCTACCGATGGGGGCCCCCTGGGACCACTTGCTGAGGGCCCCCACATATCTATCTATCTATCTATCCGAAAGCCAGTGGAAAAATCCAGGTTTTACATTGTGGGGATCCAATGACTTCATGAACAATTAGTAACAACACATTGCTGATAAAATTGTCATTTTATTTTTAGAATTTAAAAAGTAGTTTTACCCGGTAACTTAGGCCTACGACAGACTTTATGAAGTCTGAATTAGTAACAGTTAAAATGTCTGCTGATAGTAATATCAGAAAACTAGCACCAGATGGCAGCACGCTCTTTAACATCAACACGAGGCCAAAACGGACTCTGGAACAGATGGAGTTGGCAAACGCTGTCTATTGTGTATTTGTGTCTTGAAAATCAGGTGAGCGTGGTCTTGGGTGGAAATGAATTCTGAGCATATAGACCTCAGGTCAAGTGTAAATCAATCTTTCTAGCTTTTTCAGTGTGTGTTTGTATAGCTATTTTATTACATTTTTTAACTGTTTTGATTGGATTGCGTTTGTTGTCGTGAGGATTCTTCATTTCTCTCTCACCCTCATTTTTTCTGGGTAATTGCTCAGAGATAACATTGTGATTTTAATTGGATTTTCCCTCAGCTCTAATAAGGTGTCTTTTGATAGCCAGATTGGAGCCAATAGACCATTTTAGAAAAGACTCACATTTGTTGTTTTTAATAATGCAGAGCCACTGTAGACAATATTAATGATTGATCAATACATTTTTTTTCAATAACCAGTTCCTTTGACCCCAAAAAACATTTTGTTATAAAATATTTTTGATGCATAAAATTAAGGCTCAGGACTGGTGTCTAAGATCAAGTAGGCATCATTCTGAAGGGTTTTGTGATGCATGGCTTACTGTCTCACTTATTAGGGCTGCTTTAAAAATACATTTATCTATATGATCAGTTTTATAATGTAGACATTTTTAATTACACGTTATATAATAAAAAGTGTAATAAAAAAATGAATAGTAGGCCTAGTTGTTTCTTATTGGCCTGATTAGCCAAGCCCTCCATAAAATACACAAAACAAGATTTTAAGTAGGCTAATTAATACTCCAAATAACTCTCATAAAAGAACACGTATAAAACACCTCATACATTGGCTTTTGATGATTGTAAAATGTGTTTTGTGCATGTTTTGAGTGAGTTTTCGTTGCAGTTACACCATTTTGACCAGCAGGCGTGCAGTGTTCCGCGCGTTCAGTTGATTCGGATTTATAAAGTTCTGTCTTGTTCAGTCACAGCTGTTTCTATTACTCCGTTTTGGCAGTATTGTGTTTTTCAGTGACCTTCTGCAGGTTATATTTGCCCTGTCCCAAATGGCACCCTAAACCCTTACGGTCTTCCTCTGAGTCCGCACTTTCGTGATGTAATGACACTTTGACTGCTGGGTAGAAGTAGGCTGCGTAGCTCGCAGGCTCAGCAGAAGTGTATGGGAAGCCAAACAACCCAAAAGTGGGACGAGACAGCGCGGTATTAAAGTGTTCGCGACTCGACAGCGCAGAGAGGACGTGTTTACTAGCGCCACCGAACGGACAGCGCGGCGCTGATCAGTTACAATAGCGCAGCGCGAACATTACTCTCCGCAGAAGTTCGTGTTTTTTCCTGCACATAACATAATGAAGAGTTATTACATTTCTTTTGCTTATTATCTTTCATATTACTACATGTAAACAGTAGTGTTAGCTACTTTGAAGCACGTATAGCCTATATTTAGTAGTCACGTTCACAGCAGAAACTTCCATTATCTTCTTAGAATTAAAATATTTTATGGTTTCGTTCATCAAGGCATATTTAAGTAAATTTTACATTTAAGGATATTTGTGTAA